TTCTTTTGCCAAAGAACAAATCCTCCATCCTCACAAGTCCTTTTGGAATTCATATGGTTACCACTTTGATGAATATCTGATGTTGCCATCTGCAATTGTCCCACTGCATACATGCTATTTATTGAATTTAATGCAGCTTGCCCTCCACTAGCTGCTAGATATTGTTGTACTATGTATTTTGCAGTAGAAGCCTTCTGTTGATCACAATCAAAAGGATTTTAGCCTGATTTTTGTTTCCGAAATTTAAGCAAAATCTATCAGTAAAAGCCTTCTGTTGACCACAATATTAGAAGGCATATAATTGAAAAGCATAAAATTCGTGGATTTTGCAAGATTGTTACAGGCTAATGAGTTTTATTAGGGACATGCCAACCAACATAGTCGGAGCGAGAAATTCTGAAACAACAACAACAACAACAAACCCAGTGAGTTTCCACAAGTCAGGTCCGGGGAGGGTAATGTGTATATAGACCTTACCCCTTCCCTGAGAGTGCAGAGAGACTGTTTCCGATAGACCTTTGGCTAGAGAATAGATGAAAAGAAGCATTATCCACAAGTAATAATAACAATAAGATATTAAGAAAATCAAAGCAAACGATATCAGTCAAACGGTAGGTAGAGATAGCAATCTAAGAGTAAAAAGGATATCATACTAACAATAATGCTGCCGGTCTAAGAAAGAAAGAGCAAAATGCTCGACTACTAAGAAATTCTAATAAGAGAATAAAAAAGTGCAAGTCCTCAAATTTGAAACTGCAACCTGAAACAATTTTCGAACCACCTTTGCTGTTACACTAGAATCTTCCTTAACTCATTGAGATTTAGAAAATTATATATATGTGCAAGAAATTTTCTTTTACCCTATTTTATGATATATTTTTTCAGCAAAAGAGATTCAATTGAACCCTAGTCTCCACATAGGTCCGGACTTGTCCACCAAAGTAGGTGCTACATTCCGAATATAGCTAAATAAATATAGAAGATGCTTAGATTTGACCCTTATTTATTTGACAAATTGAGGCAGAGTTGATTGATTTTTGTCGATAGATTGAAATAAAAACCAATTTAACATTAGCATAAATGAAAAATATAGAGAGAGAACACTCACAATGGAACCATCCATAACAGGCAAGCTAATAGAATGATCCAATTGAACTTGAAAAGGGATAAGAGCAGAGCCAACAATTTTCAACAAGAATATAAATTGATCATTATTGCTTGAAACAACTTTTGATTGAGCAGATAATTTATCAGCTGTCATAAGATTACGCATATTTTTCCACCTTAGGGCTGCATTAGTACCCATTTTGCTAAACATTTCCTCTGGAATTGGCACCTCTAAAACTGTCTCTAAACCATCTTTTTTCTCCAAATTAGGACACAATTTCCTCATTGTGTAAAATGTGACACATTCTTTAATTGTCCTCCAATTTTTTATGAGAAAAAGAAATAAGAAAAATTTATACACGAGAAAAAGGAAGATTGTAGGAAAGATTCATTTTTGCACAAATTAAGAAAATGGGGTTTCCTTTTTTCCTCCTTTGGAAGTGTTTGAATGGAGTAGGTGATTTTGAGAGAAATTTGGGGAAGAGGAAAGGGAGAAATGTATATTTCTGTGCCTCCTTTCTCCAAAAGGTGGTTTTTTTTGGTAGTTGCTATCGTGTGGGTATGATTTTGGCGGGAATAATATTTATGTTTTTTTTTTTCTTCTTAAATATGGAGAGGGTGACAAATGGGCGGGTTGGATAAATATAGACGAATTAAAACATTTAATAACCTGGCCAAAGTTTTCTTGGGCTTATATGGTCGCGTTGATTAAGATGTACTAAAGAATAGATCATACACTTATTTTAATTGATTTTAGTTACTCTTAATCTCTTATCGTATCCATATTTTGTGTCGAAAATACTAGATTTAGTTGAAACCATAGCTAATAAGCGACATCCACCACTCCTTATCAAACTTATCTTTTATAGTGTTGATGAATAAAAGTTAGCTACAAAAACAAGGAAGCAATATGTCTACCATAAAATACTTACTGTGATATGTTGTTAATTGAAGACATAATTAAGTAAATAAAAGTAAGTTCTCCCTAATAGTGAAAGCCAAAGTCATTGTAGAACGCACAAATCCTAATATTACTGGCGTCGTGCTAACCCCTGAGTGTGGGGTAATATTTGACATTTGTTTCAATCGTGTGTGGCTTTGCCCCTGATAAACATGGTCTTAGTAGAAAGTTGCCCAGAGTTGGGTCATAAAACTTCATTAATGAAGGAATTAGATCTAATTATGAATAGGAGTTATCATTTGAAATAGTTAAGTACGTCAAAATCCTTTTTTTTTCAAACAATTTATGTGAATCTAATTTCGTTTTAAATATTTTTGGGGAGGCATAAAAATCAAATGGAGCGATAAATAATACTCCAAGATAGCAGCTCTAGCGTTAAACTACTACTCCGCTTTCTTTTGCTTTACGATTTAAATACTGTAGCAAAGTGCATATCCTCTTTCCCAAGTTATCAAATTGTATTTAGTGTAGATATATGTACTGTAGTTGATTTTAAACACTCTTATGGGGAACGTAATATTTGAAGCAGTTAATGAATAAACAATAAAGGGAAAATGGTCAAATTTGGCGCTGCACTTGGTCATCCTTTAGAACTAAGCTTAATCCCAACCATAGTTATTACCGGCCAGGATTTTAACTAAGGGGGTCAAAATATAAATAAACAAACGAAAAAAAATCAAGAGAAGTTAACGTATAGTATAAACACATAAAATTAAGAATTTAACGTATTTACACGGTATAATTTTCCGACGAAGGGATGTCAATTGACTCCCTTGCCAATGTGTGGCTCCGCCATTGGTCATTACATTGCTGAATTTATTTTGGATCATTTGCTCGAAATATTTTGATACGTGAAGTCTACTTATTTTGCGCTTGAGCTTTATAATGGCAAAGACAAATATAAGAAGATTTACTAACATATGATGAAAATATAACAAAAATAAAATTGAGCAACTTCAAATAGTACATGAGCAATTTAAACATTTTTCCATGTTGGACAAAGAGCACATAATATTAATTAGAGAAAAATGCCGGACAAATAGTGCCACAGGAATAAGAATGGAATAAAGAAGACAATACGACCAAATCAAAACAACCTTAAGTCAATATCGATTGCAACTTTTATAATTATCGTTTTGCAAATTTTATCCTTCTTTCTCTCTCTCTCTCTCTTTTACGGTTGTTTAAAATTGACCCCTTTTGAAATTATACAAAAACCAATGTTAAAAGATTGTTAAATTAGATGATTCATACAAAAACTTTAGACGAGTAGATTCACATTTCTACAATTAACGTATTATCTTTAATATTCGGGGAAAAAAGAAAGTATTTACTCTCTTTAATAGGACTATCTTTATGGTATTCTGACAGCAAGGAATTCTTCAACTCACAGCTGGATACATTTTCAGCATTTGTTTAGCAAAAATAGTATTTATCCGTTCACTTTTAGTATTCTAAAAATACATTTTCACTTTTACTTGTTATTTTTAACATATTAAGAGAAGATAATTTCTTTTTTCTTGTTATACCCATAATATTAATTATTAATTACTCATTTCAAATCATTTTCTCAAATCCATTAAAAATATGCATCAATTAATATGGGTATCATGGTAAATTATGCACCTCATTTATTATTTCTTAAGGGGTATGCAAAGTCCATAGTAGATAAGTAAAAATGAACGGAGGGAGTAATATAATTTTTCTACGTAAACTCCTTTTGTGGATGACTAACTAACAACCTTTTACAAGAAAAATATACTGATAAAAATTCTGGAGCTTGCTGGCAATAGCTGACAAATTTTTTTATTTTATTTTTTTGCATTTGATATTAAGGAAAAATCTAATGTCATTAAATTAAGAGTGTATTTGATATGACGGAAGCCATTTCCATTTGCAAAGGTTTTTTGGTGTTTTATTTGTAGTGACAAAATATTTCTCAAAAAAAATACATACTTATTAAAAATAAAAATATTAGCATGGAGAATTGTCTCATTAAAAAATCCTAAAAATTAGTAATAATATCTCATTGTTAATTGATGCAAGTAATATGAGGTCAAAAATTAAGATAATACGAAGAAAAATATTTTTCGTGGTAGCCAAACACCAAAAAAATAACTTCATCATGAAAATCATTCTCCTAGAAAATGATCTTTATCGTACCAAAAAGAGGGTAAACATCTGAAATAATTAAAAGCATGAAAAAACAATTCTGGAAAGATAAATACAAGAGAAAGATAAAAATCTTTGATGTCACAGTCAAGAATAAACATTACATTAAAAAACTATTTGAGACCATTTCCTCTACTTCTAGGATGATCTCAAGGGAATTTATATGTACCTTTCACATCTGAATGTCATTACCTCACTCAGATTTAGTCAGTCAATAAACTCCTAATATAAGGGGGGGAAATTAATCTTATTAAAAGATTAGCCTATTATCATCCGACCAAAAGCCGGCCATTTCGCCTCCTCAATTTTCTCATATAAAACAACACCATATTCTTGAACTCCAAACTCATAGGACATAGCCTGTAATTGTACAGGCGCCCATAGGAATAACATATTTTGGTTCAGGCATTCACTCGCAATTTTTCAGAACTTTTTTATAATGACAAAGCGTTTCAAACTCAAGCTTTCTATGCCTTCTTTTAGCTTTTGTCGATCCAAAAAAAAATCTTATTTGCCTAAAAATCCAATGCCAACTTCACTATACAAAATTTCTCCTGCCTATAATCTTGATAATTCACCTATTCCAGTACCCCCCTCAACCCCATATCACTCTTCTTTTAAACAATTCAGAAAAGATCACAACTTGACACAAAAAACATATAATTCGCCGATTTCTGATTATTCTGATCATGACAATAACATGATCATGAAAAAGGAGAATAGTAGAAGAAATGAGTCAAGAATTAGTAGGTTGAATAATATGAGTTTTTCCTCAACTGATAGAGGCTGGTTTAGTTTCAGCAGTGAATGTAGTAATGAGAAGCCTAATGATGAAACTGAAAGCTTTATTTCTTCTCAAAGTTTTGAATCTTCATTCGACGTTGATTATCCTATTGACCCTTTAACCGAAACCAGAAGGAGGAAAAAGAATAACAACGCGAAAGTAAGGAGGATTAAACGTTACATTTCGAATAGTTTTAAAGATTCTGATTATCAGAAGATGACTACAACAAAAGCATCTGTTATAGAGAAACTGATGCCATGTATGGCTGATGGGAAAGTGAATGAGAGTTTTGCAATAGTGAAAAAATCAGCAGATCCTTATGAAGATTTCAAGAATTCAATGAAGGAAATGATAGTGGAAAAACAGATGTTTGAAGCAGAGGATTTGGAACAGCTTTTGCTTTGTTTTCTGAGTCTTAATTCAAGACAACATCATGCAATTATAGTGGAAGCTTTCACTGAGATTTGGGAGGAGTTGTTTGGTAAATCGTCCAAGTCTGGATTTAAAACTTAGAAGATTTCAATAAACAATAATATAGCATAATGTTGGTTTAAAGCTCAACTTCCTAAAACTACATAAGGAGAATCACATCACATGTTAATTTTTTCATTTGTTTAATCATAACTTTTCATATGCTCGTGTAATCTGGTTATTGTGCTTTGCTATTTTTGTAATAGTTGTATTATGATTCATGTTATATGCAATGATAATGTAAAGATCTTTTTATACTGTGAATAATATTACTCTAGCAAAAACGTTTCTCTGCCCTCCAAATTCTATGGAAAGCTAATTATGTTCCTTTTTATCTCTTTTGAACTGGTAAAAGTAATTGATTATTATCCAGTTTTAATTTGCCAAAGAACCTTTCCATCACCTGCGAGCTGTCTCTTATTTAGATAATAATGACGAGAATACCACTTGAACCGTGCATTTGGGGACTCAGGCTAACCGTCATTTGATCTAAAGTACAAAGCAGAATCATATATTAAAAGTCATTTGATTTGAAGCACGAAGCAGAATCAATATTAAAATGTATTAGGTTCTGCACAATGGACAATAATATTTCATGTTACATTATTGGACACAATCAACCAGCAAGATACACGATAATCCATTTGTAGAGCAGGAATATTGAAAAATCCTGCAAAAGCTGCACGTAGAGGCCTCTGATGTCGATCTAAGGGAATCATCGAGAAATATATCACTTTCCCTGATTTCACTTGAGCATCATATTAATCAGGGCAAAGCCTTATGGGCTGTTAAAGTAGGTCTGGGCTGAGGTCGTTCCACTGCTGCCACCTCTTTGGTAAAGTAGGCTGATGGGCTAGCAACCTTCTGTCGCAAAAATCTAAGCACACCGATATAAATGGTACAAAGTCTTCCAGATTTTCATACTTTTAGAGAACTTCCAGTAATCACAAAACGAAAAGCTATGTGAGGTAAGAGAATAGGTCGTTGATTGTTACTAAGAGCCTAACATAACTTCTCATAGAATCAGGTCTTCTTGTTTACCACTATCAGATTCCAAAGTTAGCTCGGGATCCTCAAAATAGTTGACATGACAGAGCATACCACCAGCTTCATCAGCGAAAGAAATTTTCCTTCCCTCCCTGTGGACTGTGTTCTTGGAAACAGCAGCACCATTTTGACTCAATTTCTATATCACAGAAAAACAATATGACTAAAATAATGAGTTATGAAGTCCATATTCAAACATTGGAAAAGTTTGAAGATGCTGCAACTATGAATAACAGAATATGAATGGTACCAACCATGATTTTACAGAATCTGGTGCAGTCCCTAGTCATCATTGACAACCACTTTCGTGTTGTCTCTTCAACTTTTGTTGCACTTTTTATGGCAATCTTCACCTGTCAAACATAAGATACTAGTGGTTGAGAATGATATACTTACATCACATGTAATTCATCTAAGCATGTCATTCTAACATAGCCTTTTCCCCGTGTGTCAATGCCTATTTCAAGTTATGACCATTCCTCATATAACTGAAATAAAGATCAAATTGATATGTTTTCAATTGTTAGATGAGGTCTTGGAAAATGAAACATCACTAGTACTTGAAAATCTAAAATGAAAAGTATCGTTTGCTATATCAGACATAACTATGATTACTTTGGTCGTTTAACTCAACAATGCACCTCAGATATGCCAGTATATCTGAAAGAACATACCTCATCAGCATCATTCTTCAAAGAACTGGTGCGATATGCTTCAAAGAGCAATTTTTCTTCTACCATATCCTTCATCGACTTCAATTCAGTCATAAGCTTCAATGCTAGAGATTCCATGTCATGCATCTGCCTCTGTGAAAATGCTATGGCACTCTCTGAACAACGTGTGATAGAGGTGCACCCAGTGTTAAGTTGAGGTAGAGAACGAGAGAGACGAGGACCTTCCAGATTGCCTTTTGGAGGGGAACTCTGTTTTAGTAGATTGCCTTTTGAAGGGGAACCTCGTTTTTCAGTCTTCCATCTCTTAGCGATCTGCTTGGGACCTATAAAAACTTTAACCTTCTTAAGCAGTGCAGATCCTTCAGTATCTTTAGTTGTGCTAGCATCAGCAAGGCATGATCCTTCAGAATTCTCATTCCCAAAAGTGAGTTTCTCTTTACATTCTGAAAGAATTTAGCCAAGAAAAAATAGGTCAGCTTCTGTGGCGCTCTCATGTTCTGAGGCAGTTCAGAACATTTAGGAAGAAAAATATTATCCTTATCACAAGCAATACAAAGGACACCATCATTAAGAGTAAGAGAACCAGGATTTTCAGTCCAAGCTTCTGTGGTCACTCTCATTGTATGGATTAATTGGGATTAAGTCCAGAATAAAATGTGTGGTGGATAACCTTAAGAAAGGAATTTAATACCTTTCAAAGTTGAAGTATGAAATCAAGAGTTTATCGTTCATTTGACTTTCACTTCAACTAGTAAATTAGAAACTTACTCATTTTTTCATGTTGCACGATACGAGCTAAAAGCAGAAGTTTTCCACCCATCAGTTAATATTTGATATGATACTAGAGTCAAAGCAAGAAGGCACTCGAAAACATAAGTCTGACAAGAAGTAAGCCATCTTTTTTTTTAATAATAGTCTGTTATCTTCATTTGTCAACACATATAAGCTGGATAATATATAATTTGCAAATTATTTAATTTGTCTGATTTACTGTAAATCAAAAGGCTTGTAACTGAAGACACGTCTGTGTCTAAAGTAAAACCTTGAGAACCAAAGATAAAATTCACAAATATCTGTATGATTTGGTCATTTGGTTATTGGTTCCTGGGCTAAACCAAAGAAGCAACCACCAGAATTCTTAAGATGAAACAGCTAAAATGAACTTTGAATTAAGTTGAAGCACTGTTCAGTTGTTTCTCTGATCTCAACTGGCATAGATTTATCCGTCAAGAAATTTGAAGCAACACATCAACTGTGCTTGGAGTTGCTATGCATATACATCAGTTGGATTATATAGAAAAGGGATAAAAATATAAAGTCTGTCCACCTTATGATGAAAAACCTAATTTCATATATGACTTACTATAGTTCTCCAGGTCATCGATTAATTCTATGGAGTTCATAGCCAGACAAAGTCGCTCTTGAGAGCACGGAGAAATAGCCTGCATAAGAATATATAGTTTAAAATACTTCAAGAAATACAAATAAAGCAAATTATCTTCAGCAAACACCCTAACCTTTCGTGTTGAAAGAAGTCTCTCAGGAGGCTGTGACAGCTCGGACGCTGAGATCTGATCCGAAGCATCCTGAGATGGACTGGTTAACCTCAAATCTTTTTCCTCACAAATACTTGAAGATTTCAGAGGCTGATTTTCATCATCCAAGCAATTTCCTGAAATCAAGCAACTAGCTGCTGCATCAGTAAGGCAGCACTCTGTTAGCTGCTCCTTGTCATTTATGTCATCTACGAATGGCAAACTATTGTCACTGCCCGAGCAAGTTTGCAAATTACACGATAAGATACACTTATCAACAGGGTCATCTACTGAACAAACTTCCTGATTTGAGAGCAAAACTTCATTATCTCCATCTCCAGACATGCAATCTGCATAATGAAGACCAGCACTGTCGGTGCGATTAGGTATCGTTGCCTCAGGAATGTGAATCCCAACATTGTTGGTACTCTGACCAGAACTCTTATCCATATCAGAACAATCCATGAGGCAGTCATACATGCCTAAACTCTGATCATTTGCAGTTGCTACTATTTCTGTAGATCTTGATGGAGCAAACAACTCTTTTTGACTGTTTTCTGTATAACATCTGTCCTCCTGATTATTTACCTCTGCTAGAGCTTCACTAGCTGAGTAAATATATTTAGGATCCACATGTTCGAACTGATCATTGGAAATCTGATTAAGAGTACAGAGTTGCTGCTCTTCTGCAAATGAAACATGTATCTTTTCCTCAGAGTCAACTACGTCTGATAATTCACTACACGTAGTTGTATCAGAATTAGGTTTGCTATCCATCCAGATATTAGAGGGGCAATTGGAAGAATCTGAGTTTCGGGACATTGAAAACTCAGATTCTGAAGTCTCAGCTATGGGCTCTGGCACTTCAGGCAAATCAGTTCTGAGCTGTGGAGAAACTTCAGGCTCCAGAACCACTTCAACTTTAATTGATACAGGTTTGTTTGGTGATGCAAAGAGATTTCTGTTGGTGCACCTTCTTTTACGATTTGCTTTCTTGGAAATCCCCAACTTCAAATGACTAAGGGGTACTTTTAGATCGCCATCTTCCTCTAGCTGATAACATCCGTTAGCCTGCTTTGGACTTGTAGAAGTAGGACTTGGAGTAGCAAATTTCCTTTTCTTGGATTTGCATCTCTCCTTTAGTTGTTTCAGTGTTATTTCTCCAGAATTATAATCAGCTGACTGACTGTTCACCTCATCATCAGCAAGGCAACCAAATTTGTTATTTTCAGGTTCTATTGCCTTTAATGTTCTGGCTACTACTGGAAAACATTCACTTTCACACTTAACATGTGACCCCCCGAGTCTAGCATTTTCAGTATCATAGATGTCTTTTAACTTCTTGATCGTCAGATCAGGCTTTCCATGAGAATCTACATTACGGACCTTTACTATCAAACCTCTTCTCACAACCTGGATATAGTGCAAGTAGTTGCCACTCCTTCGCTCCATTGTCTAACAGGTTTGACTCAAGTTCATGAACTATTGGTGGAAATGCAAATGCCTATGAAGGTGTAAGTAACTCTACCCTGACTATATCTCCAAGATGCCACCAGTCTTCCAGAATACTGCAGAAGAAAGAAACCTTATAATTTTACTCAGATAACATCCTTTGGGCAAAAAACCTATTTTGGGATGTCTAAAAAGACAAACACTTAATAATTATCTCATATTGATGTTCTTATAAACATGAAAAAACAGTTCAAGCAAAAAAAGGTATGTTGAAATACATGGAGAAAAATGAACACAAACCTATACAATAATGCAGAGTAGTTCAACAAATGATTGAACTGTAGTAGGAAACAACAGTGTCACGTCTTCCACTAAGTAAAGATCAAGATGTCGACCAACCCCAAGAACTGAAAAGGAAATGTCACTCTTACCAAGAGCTTTAACCAATTTCACATTGACTTTCTGATTAGTAATGTCTAATAAGGTGAGGTCCAAAAATCATAAAACTAAGTCTTCACATTAAGAAAGATTTTCTTTGCTCGGTATTTCAATTCACATGGAGCTGAATCAGAAAGACAAATAAAAAGGAAAGCAAAATTTCACAGCTAGTAAATTACAGAAAAGTTAAGTAACGTCACACAAATAAGACAATGGCATTTGCAAAAAAAACAAAGTGGGAGCAGGAAGTGACAGAAGAAACCACTGGGAAAAGTGGGACAATGAGATGACAAATTTATGCCACGTTGATTACAGGTTCCGCCAAACCAAGTAGCTTTTGCTCAAACAATATATTTGTGTAAAAAAATACATTAAATATGTACAAATATTAAATCTACAATCAAGTTAGCTCCGCCTCTGCATATACAAAGTCTCTGAAAATTGTTTCTACCTCACAGCCCTATATGTTTTCTCTTTGACAAGACTAAAAGATAAACGTCATGCCTTAGCTCAAGCACAAATAGTCAATTAGTACTTTTTAACCTATAACACTTGTAATTATCAAAACTATATCTCAATTGAACTAAAAAAAATCTGAAAGATAGTACATTATCAAATGCCCAATAAACTAAGCTAGGAATATCTCAAATTAATCACTTAAAACACATTTTTTAACCAAATAAATTAATTACGTCACATGTTTCCAAGTAAAAATAAATGGGTACATATAAACACGATTCATTTAACATGTTGCCCCAACACATTTTTTCAATCAAAACGGTAAACTGGATCTATCAGTGCATACAAGTCGAAGATCCAAAAAAATAGAATCTTGATCAGAAGTAGTAGTAAATGAAAATGGGGGTCTATAAAATCCCTAAACAGCTAATATATTGAAATAAATCTCATGTGTTTAATTAATTGTACAATAAACAGAGAATGCTTTAACAGAGAGACAAATCAACAGATCTGGGAATAAAAAGATAGCAAATTGAGCTCACCTGATTATGAATCGCTGGTTCGAGAGTGACAGAAGAAAGTTGAGGAGAAGGATGAGAGGCTGAACTTTCCCGGGTAAATTAGTGAAATATAAGGATATTGCTGAATGTGAAATCGCGCCAACATTATTGGCGGGAACTGGACTAGGGCTTTGTACTTTTATATTGGGCCTTAAGATTCCGCTGACTTGGTACCTGCCTATTTTCCTTTTTGTCTTTTGTTTTCTTCTTTTTTATGATATTTACACTTTTGGTCCCTCAACTGCTGATAAATTTCGACTTTAGTCCTTGTAATAATGGCTAAGCATATTTAAACTTTAGTTTATTAAAATGTGCATTTTCGATCCGTTCATATAGGAAATATGTGATATTTGGATTATTTCTTAAACAACAAAACGTTCAACAATGAAGCAACATTGCATACTTAACATAATACATTAGTAACTACGAGATGCTAATTCAGAATTTTCATCAAGGGGTGTCAAAATATAAATAATTAGATATATCGAAAAGTCAAGGGGAGTCAACGTATAGTAAATCTACATAAAATAAAAAAATCTATCTAGCGATATAATGTAATTTTCCGGCGAAGGGGTGTCGACACCCCTTGGTTCAATGTGGCTCCGCCACTAGTAACTAAATGGTTTTTTCATTGAATTTATGAATATTTACCTGAGGCGTCAATATGCACATATTGATTAATTGAAGATTAGATGTACCTAACTAGAAATTATAAGGACCGCCCGGTGCATTAAGGTATCACTATGCGCGGGGTCCGGAGAAGAGCTGGACCAGTCTATTATACGCAACCTTATTCTGCATTTTCGCAAGAGGCTATTTCTACGGCTTAAACCTGTGACTTTCTGGTGACATGACAACAATCTTACCAGTTACGCCAAAGCTGCCCTTCTAACTAAAAATTATAAGGATTAAGTTAAAAATTAATTCATATCTGAGGCTAAAATCGCAATTTTCCTTTTATTTTTTTATCTTTTTATTGGTATTGGTTGCACTTAATCCCCTTCATTTCTTTATAACTGGCATGCGAATATTTTTAATTTCTAAATGTAGCTGTGAAATTTGAAAAAAATATTAAAATATTTATACTGTAAGGCCAACAAATGTAATACCTTCAATAAAAAACAAACACAATAATTCACATGAAATTCTATTTCTTCTACATGATATATCAAACTTACTTGAAAACCAATGTCATGCTTATTATTATATTATAATAATAATAATAATCACAAAATATTTATGTACATTAAATATTTTAATTATATTTTTTATAATAATTTTCGGCACGTTTTCTTATCGGAAAAAGAAAGAGATTTTTATATAAATAGTTGGTCATATTAATTGTTTATTTTTTTTAGTTATAAATATAAATTATATATTGATTATATATAATTATATATATTAATACATAAATAGAGACAAATTAGAACGCCGGCCAAGATTAAACCCGGAGTGCTAGAACTATCCTAAACCTCAAGGCCTCAATCTCTCCAATCTTATCCCGCTCGCAAGGGAATCAAAACAAAAAACAAGGTTCCATTTTCATTCGGAAATGACGAAGGCATCATTCAAAGCTCGATATGAGACGGACAAAGCCGCCGCCGCCACTACGGTCGCCTTCAACGCCGGCGACTTTAAGCTCCGAGCGTCCATGACCGATGCTACTGTTGTCAACGGTCCCAGTTTAAACGGCTTAGCTCTTGCCGTTGAGAAACCTGGCTCATTCATCATCGACTACAACGTCCCCAAAAAGGTGTCGTGCATCATTCCTTCTCTTTTTTTTTGAATTTTTTGTGTTTAATTTTGACTCAGCCTATGTCAGTTTCGCAAATCATAGTCCGTCAGTGAAAAAATGAAGCTTACTGTAATTAAATAGAACGACGGAATAGATATAATTATACAAATGATTTATATAACTGATCCTAACTATAATTAGGAATCCAGATGTAGTAGATTGATTGACTGTGCTCTTAAATTCGTATTAGCTCTTAATTATTACTAAAAGTTCTGTGATTTCAGGATATTCGGTTTAAATTTAGTCCGTTAGTGAAAAATACTCGAGTTAAATATAATAGAATTGATACAAATGATTTGCATAATGGATCTTATCTAGTTAGGACTTAAGATGCAGTTGACTGATTGATTGATTGTGTTTTTAAATTCGCTTTAGCTCTTATTGTTGCTACTCTTGAAAGTTTATGCTACTATTGAAAGTTTATCGTTCAGGACATTCGGTTTCAATTTAGTCCATCAGTGAAAAATACTCGAGTTAAATAGAATGGACTGATACAAATAATTTATATAACAGATCCTAACTAGTTCGAATTTGAGATGTAGTTGAATGGTTCATTGATTCATTGTGTTTATAAATTTGCTTTAGTTCTTAATTATTACTGAAAACTTTGTGGTTTCAGGACATTCGGTTTCAATTTATGAACTCAATCAGGGTTATGGAGAAGCCGTTGAATTTGAATTACATTCATTTTCATGGAGACAATCGAACAATATTGGATGGGACTTTGGTGTTTGATTCAGCCAACAAGGTGTCGGCTAATCACGTGATGGGGTCGGGGAGTTGTAAATTGAAGTACACTTATGTGCATGGAGGACTCGCTACTTTTGAGCCAAGCTATGATACATCAAAGAACGCATGGGATTTTGTGGTTTCACGTAAAGTTTACGGGGACGACGTGTTTAGGGCTACTTATCAGACGACGAGCAGGAATTTGGGGCTCGAATGGTCCAGGAGTTCAAAGTTAAATGGATCTTTTAAGGTATAATTTCTAAGCTTTTCATCCATATCAATTACCATTGCAACTGAATTACGAAGCTAAGCTATGCAATTTCAATTGGCATGCTTATATTTGTTATTCATTTTTGTTAATTAAATATTTTCTGAATTTGGTATCTTTCTAGCTTGCTTATCTCATTTGCCAACAAAAGTCTTAGTTGGTGGACAATGCTTTTAAAGTTACTCGATGCTTACTAGAAAACTGTCTTATGGTGAAATATTAAAGAATTTACTAGAGGTGTACATTCTACTCCACTTGTATTTGCACTAGCAATGGTGTATACTATTTGCAGATGACATAGTATTGCACTAGCAATGGTGTATACTATTTGCAGATGACATAGTATTGATTAACGAGATACGTGGCGGGTTTAACGCTAGACTGGAGATTTGGAGACATACCCTTGAGTCAAAAGGTTTCAGGTTGAGTAGGACTATATAATACTTGGAGTGCGAATTTAGTGACGCAACACATGTGGCGGATGTTGAAGTGAGGATTGATACACAAGTCATCCCCAAAAGAGCAAGCATCAAGTATCTTGGGTCAGTAATCCAAGAAAATAGATAGATTGATGATGATGTCACACTTCGTATTGGAGCGGGGTGAATGAAATGGAGGCTCGTATCCGGTGTCCTATGTGATAAGAAGGTGCCACCAAGACTTAAATGTAAGTTCTATATCGTGGTTGTTAGACTAACTATGTTGTATAGGGTAAAGTGTTGGCCAGTCAAGAGCTTACACGTTCAGAAGATGAAAGTAGCAGAAATGTAGATGCTTAGATGGATGTGTGGACATACTAGGAGAGATAAGATTAGTAACGAAGATATTCAGGGCAAGGTGGGAGCGGCCTCCGTGGTGGACAAGATGAGGAAAACGAGGTTGAGGTGGTTCGGGCATGTGAAGAGGAAGAGCACATATGCCCTAGTGATGTGGTGCGAGAGATTGGCAGTGATAGGTCTATATAAATGTAGAGGTAGACTGAAGAAGAATTGAGGAGAGATGATTAGAGAGGACATGGCACATCTTCAGCTCACTGAGGACATGACCCTAGATAGGAGAGCATGGAGGTCGAGGATTAGGGTAGAAGTTTAGTAGAAGTTTATATAGGAGGACGTGGTTCTAGTTTAGAGCACCTAATCTGCTTCCTATTGTCATTATTAGTATTGCTATTATACTATTATTATCTTATTCTTAATTTTATTACTACTATTATTTCCTTTGGTTTGGTTATCTTATTATTTTTGTTACAAATATTGTTATTTTCTTCCATATTTTCATCATAGCGTCTTTACTCTTGTATTTTTCAAACCTCTTCTGAAAATGCTTTTCTTGAGCCGAGGGTATATCGGAAACAGCCTCTCTACCTCACAAGGTAGGGGATAAGGTCTGTGTACGCTCTATCCTCCCCAGACCCTACTTATGGGATCACACTGGGTATGTTGTTGTTGTTGTATTTGCACTAGCAGACATTTTTTGTAATCTATGGAATGTGGGATAATCTATAATCACATGACATGATTTTGGAGCATTTAAATCGAGGGAATGTAATTGTTACCTTGGTGTTTAATAGGTTGTACACTGGGATAATGTTTTTGTTTAATGGGGTTGTATCCTTTAGGTTTTGTATACAGCTTTAGGATATGGATTGGATCCCAGGGGTGCCTTCTCTGTGTGTGTGTGTAGGGNTTGTTTATCATTTTGGCTCAGTGATAAAACACAATTGGATATTATTTTTAATTGTTCATAATTGTGAGTCAGCAGCCAATGTCTCGCCTGAGAAGGGCCTAAACCTCCTAGATGTCACAAGTTTAGTAATTGATCAAATTCTTGTTTGCGGTGAAGGCTGCATGTCAAATTGGAAGTTCATTTTATGGATTTAGTAATATAAATGTTCCTATGTCGTATTGGTTCATGGATTCATTTGTTGGGCTTTTCTGATTTTGTTGTGCATCAAACAAAAGGATTTTTTTCCTGTTAAGTGTAAGCGACCATGAAAGTCATTCTGCATTGGTTCCCCGATAGCCATTTGAAGGGCCATTGCCTTGTTGGAGTTGATGGACGATGAAGCAGGACACAATCTCTGTGATTTTTGGAGTTATGCTTTAGCATTGCTGAAGAACCAGCTTAGATCCATCATGTTGCTATAAGTGTGTTTTCTATCTGGTTGTTTAGGACAGATGAACAAGTTAAAAATGGCCTTCAATTGTTAATAGTAAAACAGAATGTTCTTATTTGTGTACACCTATATGTGATGATGTGCTATCAGAGTGTGCAAAGAAATGCCCAAATTATAACATTTACTATTGTCATCATTCATCATATATTATCATCATCGCTATTGTTATGCATTCTTCTGTGTGAAAATATTTGGATTATTTAATAGTTGAACTATAATTTATTTGCTTTTTCAGCTTCTTCTTCTTCTTTTTTTGTTGAACTATAATAGTTGAACTATAATGTTGTGCATTCTTCTTCTTTTTTTGTTGTTGCTGGTGCTTCTTGATAATGTGTTCAAGGTTTGGTCTATTCATATCTAGTGAGCTAAGTGAAGCATGTAGGAGAAGTGCTACCTTTTTTGTTTTGTTTCCCCAAGACCATTCTGACTCAAGTTCTTCTTCCTATCTCCAGATTTGTGCATCTCTCTGTTTGCTTGAAGAACGCAAAATGCCTAAGTTAAGTGCTGAGACTTCGTGGGACTTCGAGATGTGATTTCGTTTTTTTTTTACAATTATTCAGATACAATTACTTTTGGCTATCCATCATCATTGGGCTCAATCTAATGTTTTCTAGCTGAATTTGTAGATTCACAAGTGGGATGATCGTTTTGATATGGTTAACTATTAAAGGTTTATGGTTAAATGACATGAGTATTGACCCACAGCTGCTTTTCTTCCGCTTCAAGACATATCCTTGTTTTTATGCCTTGACTTTACCCAAATTGATAATTTGCATGTACTCTCCCCCTTTAACGCTCCACCAAAATGGTGGATCCATTATCTTGTTCCTAGCTTTATTTGGTCATTTGGAGATACTTTGAGATATTGATTGAAATCATTTGAAGCTCCTGCCATTTGTAGTTGTCTCATTACATTCTTCACAAAAGGCTGGCAAATTATTCTACTAGATTGGTACTATAGCATTAATCCTTTACACGTTTTCGAGAGGTTTTGTAAATATTTGATCACTCAGTTTTTCCATCCTTTGGCTTGTAGATTTAGTAGGCATTCACTGTTTCAGATCTCAATAGAAAACCGTCCAATCAGGACATAAAGTTTGTGTATAAATGTTCGAGTTAAAACTCTAAAACTTAGATATTTGTACTCTAGTCCATGTCATTCTTGAAAAGAGTATGAGTTTTGTACTGAAAAAAATTCCGGTAGGAAGCGATTTCCTCTTTAACGGGGGCTTATGTGGCTTGGATCCAAATTAATCGGGACTCAAATAGTCAAATGCAAGTATCTGACATCGGATAATAAATTTTAAAAATGTAGAGTACATTTTTATTCTTTTTTCTGGGAAAGAATGTAGTAGCCAATAGGTAATAAGATGAGAAAAAGCAGCGGGCATAAATAAAAGAAACATTGTTTCTGTAGTTTTAGCAGTAACATTTTACTAATCATTTTAGTGGACAAGAGTGGGTTGCTCTAGTGGTGAGCACTCTCCACTTCCAACCAAGAGGTTGTGAGTTCGAGTCGCCCCAAGAGCAAGGTTGGGGAGTTCTTGGAGGGAGGGAGTCGAGGGTCTATCGGAAACAGCATCTCTACCCCATGGTAGGGGTAAGGTCTGCGTATACACAACCCTCCCCAGACCCCACTAGTGGGATTATACTGTGTTGTTGTTGTTGTTGTTGTTGTATTTTAGTGGGCATAGTGTTTGAACAAAAAACTTGGTTTTGGCTCGACCAATAGAATAATATCCAAAAGACAAAGTTATGAGTGTCAACACCTAATAACTAGTATATTCTCTCCGGATGATAGTGAATATGAGCAATGATAGTAATATTCAATGATCCAAAAAGATAGAATATGACATTAAATAGTAATAAATAGCAATAAATGACATTTGGGTAAATAAAACGGTTGAGTCACCCGAAAAGGGATGAGATTAGTGGTTATTCTTTCTGACAATGTTGAATGATTTATAAGCCTTTGAACAATTGGGTTGTTCTTGGATCCGGTGGAAAATACTAGACAAGAATCTTGGTAAACTGGTTGTTTTTGTATATATGCGATAAACCCATCATCTCTCTTGTTTTCATGAGCTTAATCCCGAGGACTTATCGATTCTCGTCACCTTCTCACTTCGCCCTTTCTTATCCTTATTCATGTCTCCCTAAAACCTTGTCGCTTACCATACTTTAGCTTGCGACCTACACACATCTATCTATACTACTCACAACCTTCCTTCAACTTGCTTGCACCATAGATTTCCTTATGTTATTCTGGGACATCAAGCGAGACATCGCATCATCTCTAACTCTTCTTTACTCTCTTGACTAGGCCTCTCGATACCTAGAAACCATAGGCTGGAAGATATGCCACTGACGACGCCGCTATTATTCCTGGATATTGAATCCCCGCGCTTCTAGCCTTCTATCCGAAGTATGGCTTTGCTAACCACCAGTTAAAGAGAGTTTGTCTCAAAATAGTGGTGGCTTTCACGCCACAATAGCCACCAAATAACTTCCAAGCATTTGATGCCCCATCGCTGTTAATGAACACATGTTCAATGGTTTTAGTTTTGGGAGCTTTACATCAAGAGCATATAGACGGTCCAACAAAGCCAAACTTCCTAGAGATTTCATCAATAGGTAGTCTATTATGTATCAATCTCATCATAAAGTATGAAATTTTAAAAGGGATCCCTTTATGCCAAATATTGGAAGCAGAGTTAGTAAAATTTCAAGCTTGCTTGAAAGTATGCCAAGCCGATTTACAATAAAATGAACCATCATTAGTAATGGTCCAAATTGGCTGATCAATTCTAGAATTGAAAGGCACATTAATCATGGAGATATTCCTTGCAATGGGACTAGGCAGGACAGTCTCAAGAGCTGCAAGGTTCCAGTTACCTTCATGAGTGAAGTCCATAATTGTCTCCTTTCCTCTACTTGGACCATTAATAAGCTTGGCTATAGAGCCAAAATCGGACCAGTTATCCCACCAGAAAGAGGCACTTCCATTAAAAAGTCTCTATTTGATATGATTCTTAGCAACAGTTTTAATGTCCATCATTTTTTTTCAAATCTATGAGTGACCAGGTTTCCATGAAGCAGCAACATGGTGACTAGTATTACAATATTTAGCTTCAATGAAATCCTTCCAAAAGGAGTTTTTTGTTCTAAAGATCCACCATGACTTTGCTGCAAAAGCCTTGTCTATATCATGAATGGATCTAAAACCAGCCCCCTCCTTATCAAAACAAAAAGATGACTAAGAGAACCAATGATGCTTTTTATTCTCTTCTGAGTTAACCCATAAGAAGTTGCAATATTATTTTTCAATGGTCTGAAGCGTAGTTTTGGGAGTTTTAGTAGCTGCAAAGATGTGCGTAGGAATAGAGTAAAGAACTGCCTTAATAAGGATAGCTTTACCTCCATAGGACACAAGTTTTCCATTCCAGCCTTGGATTCTCCTACCAACCTTGTCAGAAAGATAATTAAAATATTCAATTTTTTTCCTTCCTCGGTAAATATGAGCACCAAGATAAGTGAACGGAAAATTCTTATGAGAAAACATAAGTAAGATTCATAATATGGTGAGCTAGATTATCCTCAGCATTAAGATGTAAGAAAAATGTGATTTACTGAGGTTTATCAGTTGTCCAGAAGTGTTGGAATAATCATCTAAGCATTGCTTGATGATCTCAATAGAAGTGGTGTCAATAGAGATGAATAATATAGTATCATCAGAATAAGTAAGGTGTGTGATGCAAGGCCCTTGTTTCCTCATTTTGTAAGGAATAAAGTCTTCGCACTGAATGATATTATTCAACATCTTGGATAAGAGTTCAGAGGATAAGACAAATAAAGAGGGAGAGATGGGATCTCCCTACCTTAAACCCCTGAAGGAATTAAAAACCCCAGTTTTATTTCCATTTATGGCAATGGAATACCAGATATTAGAAATAAGTCTGAAAACAAGATTAATTCAAAATTCATAGAAGCCTTTTCTTCTCATAACTTGACATAAAAAGGCCCATGATACTCTATCTGTCACGACCCAAACTGATGGGCCGCGACGGGCACCCGATACCTTACTCAACCGAGTACTAACTTTACATATCCTTCTTATCGTACTATCATTGGCAAATGGGCCAAACGGGCCGTCATGGGCTAATCAGAATAAACATAAGGGAATACTCAATATAAGATGACCCAATCTGATATAAAAACTTATGCATATGACATACGAGCCTATAAGGCCAAAATGATTACTCGTACACTGAACATAGGCCGATAAGGCCATACAATTTTTCATATATATGACATCTGTCTACAAGCCTCTAAGAGTACATAAATATCATAAAAGTCGGGATAGAGCCCCGCAATACCAATCAACACATGTCCTAATCATACTGACCAAATAGCAACTCCGGAGCAAATGGAGCGCACCAACACCTTCCGCGGAGCTAGTAGCCTACTTGGAGGACTCTCAATCTGTCTAACGGGACCTGCGGGCATGAAATGCAGCATCCCCAGGCAAAGGGACGTCAGTAAAAATAATGTACCGAGTATGTAAGGAATGAAAATCAGTAAGTAATAGACATGAGAGAAACATGGAGTAAAAGACTCAACATATAAGTCTGAATAACTCTGTGAATCATTTCATATTTATAATGTCATGCATATGCGTATAAATGTCATATCACACATAGGTATATGCGTTCATAACATCATCAAGCCTCTGAGGGCATCCCATCATATCATCTCGGCCATTGTGGGCAAATCATCAACGTATACCAGCTGATCAGATGGTGGTGCATATATAACGCCGTAACCTTTTCCCATATCCCATATACATATTATATACATATATACGCGTATATAACGCCATCTGGTCATGGGTCAATGTACATGTATAAATGCATGAAATGCATAAGAATTACGTTAATAAGATTTCTCGGAATGTCATAAAATCAATATGCCTTTCGGATAAACTTTATCAACTACGTATTTTTCTGAGACTCATGAACAGAAGATATAATAATAATTCACATGGGGAATGAAGAATATAGACACCCCTAGTATTTCTATGAATAGAGTTATTTATGAAAGTTGCACATTTACTCGTTTCGTTTGTATCGTATTGATCATGCCAAAAGAAAGGAGGGATAGCCTTAACATACCTGAGTCGATTCTCTTGGCAATCCCTCTAACGCACGTCAATTGCAGCAAAACACGTGATGGCAAGATCAGAGTAGGAAAATATCCGTATAATATTCTTGAGAAAGATTACATCGTACTCCCTTAAATTTGCAAAATCTCACGTTGCTTAAGATGCTATGAAATCTTTGTTTGAATTATTGAAGATCCGTACCTTAGAGTCATTAATTGTTGAAGATCGCGTTGCTTAAAATTGCACCGTACACATAATTGGATCTTATATGACTTTCGTTGAAGCAATTTCACGTTGCCATCACTTGTAGGAGTTTGCTGGAGCACTTCACTTTGCTATGAAGATTGAAATATGTCTCTCTTTGAATCTTTAAGATGTCTTTTACCTTAGTGGGTGTGGTCCCCACTAAGGTGATGAGTTAGCCACAAAAGATCCTCTAATTGCCACCTATTTTAATGACTATGAGTCATTACTTGGGCTTTAAAATCAAGACCCCTTGGCTGCCACATTAGGAGATTAATCAACCTTATCCAAATATGCTTAATTAATTAGTTAATCTCTCACTAAAATTAATAATTACCCAATTATTCACATAATCAAGAATTATCTCAACTAACTTAAAATACTACTCACTTTTAACACACTTTATGTACCCTACTATCATGGTCATGTGGTACCTTGTATGGCACTAGTCCATAAATACAGTGTATTATAACTTGGACCGTATTTTATC